CTTTCATAAGTCACTTCCTCGTCCACCATGCACCCCGAAGGCCACCTGCAACATGCCTGGACCCTCTGACTTACATAATCTTTTTGCATAGCTTGGTAGGTTTTTTTGCCCATAGGCAGTTGAGTGGGGGAAGGGAAGACTTTAGCATAAGAAGAAGGTTTAAGTCTCCTGAAATGTGTTGGTTCACCCTGGTCGAGCTGCCACTGCCAACTGTGTAACATGTAGGGATCAGGGAGTATAACTGGAAAGTTGAGAAAGTCTCTCCCTTCTGGACAGGACAGCCATCCCTGTGTGCTCCTTGGCCTTCAGAGAACACCAGAGAGTGGCTCTGGCCAGTTTCACTCACTACCAGAAAATGGCTGCTGGAAGGCTGAAAAAGGAGAAAAGGAAAAGGACTCAGAAAAATGACAAAAGCAGTAGGACTCAGAAAAACAAAAACAAAAGGACTCAGGTCCCTCACCCAAACTGAGGTTGCAGTCAGACACTTCCACATGGAAACTTTTCAGTTTTATTAAAAAGTAACCCTGGCAAGAAACTTGCAGTTGTCTTCGTTCTTACGCACTGTCCATGCTAAGTTAGAAAGGAAAAGAGAGAGAGAGAGAGAGAGAGAGAGAGAGAGAGAGAGAGAGAGAGAGAGAGACTGAGACTTCCCTGTATGTAAAAGGGGAAAGGAAAAAAATAAGTTCCAAACTTTACACCTACCTTCTCTCCTGCCTGGCTGACCAAAATGTTACCAGTAGAGGGTCTTGACTGCAAGTTGTCCAAGTTCTGGGCCTTTTGAACAAAGAATTGGACAAAACAGACAGCAAAGCAAAGAAAGAAGGAAGCAACAAAAGAACAAAACTTGGATTTATTGAAAATGAAATTACACTTCACAGGGTGAAAATGGGCCCGAACAATGGTTTAAGGGCCAGACACAGAATCTTTGTCGGTTCAAATACCCACTAGAGGTTTCTCATTGGCCACTTGTTGTTATGCTCTGATTGGTTCCAGAAAGCAACCAATCAGAGGCTAAAGAGAAGTTACACAGGTCACACTCATGCAAATATTCAATTGGTTGTGAAAGCAACCAATCAGAAGCTAAGGTGAAGTTACAAAGTTGCACTTTTATGCAAATGGTGACTCACCCCACAATCAGTCTGATTGGTTTTGGACAGCCAATTTCCTGTATGCCCAACAGAAAAGGTGGGGATTTGCAAAGGGTATAGCCTCTGGTCTTTTTGTTACTTAGAGGTGGAAAGTTAGTTTTTTTTTCCATTTAGGTATAGGAATTCGGTATGAAATGGTCTTAGGTTCCCTTCCTCCAGACCCTATTCCCCTGCCTCATTAGTACATATGTGCAAGTTGGTTTCCAAATGCAGACTTATTTGGACGTTGCTGCCTTCTGTTTATCCTGTAAACTTCAAAGAGCCAGCAAATGATATGAAAAATGGTAGTCTTCATTTGACCTAGAAGTGTTTGTATTGTGACAAGAGTGCTGAGTGTAAGGGACTCCATGCTATGCCTGCTTTCTCTAAGCTAATCATGAGCCCAAGAAGAGCAAGATCAGCATTGATAGGGAACTTGTTTACACATTCATGGTTGGGCACAGTGGCTTATGACTGTCATCCCAGCACTGTGGGAGGCTGAGGTGCGTGGTCACTAGAGGTCGGGAGTTTGAGAGCAGCCCGGCAAACATGGTGAAACCCTGTCTCTACTAAAAACACACACACATACACACACACACACACACACACACATACACACACACACAATTAGCCGGGGATGGTGGAAGATGCCTGTATAATCCCAGCAAATCAGAAGGCTGAGGCAAGAGAATTGCCTAAACCCGGGAGGTGGAGGTTGCAGTGAGCTGAGATCATGCCACTGGACACCAGCCTGCACGACAGAGTGAGACTCCATCTCAGAGCAACAAACAAACCCTTCATGACCCCTTCCTAAGTTTGAAGAATTACATCACAGAAAGTGGGGCCACAGTTTCCAAGTATGTTTTAAGCTCATTATAGCTTTAGAGGCAATACTTAGCTAAGTGGTTATCAGCCAGGTTTCTTTTTTAATTTTTTTTTGAGGTGGGATCTTGCTCTGTGTCCAGGCTGGAGTGGTGTAGTGGTGCAATTTTGGCTCACTGCCACTTCTGCCTCCTGGGTTCAAGTGATTCTCGTGCCTCAGCCTCCTGAGTAGCTGGGGTTACGGGCATGTGTCAACATGCTAGGCTAATTTTTGTATATTTAGTATAGATGGGGTTTCACCATGTGGGCCAGGTTGGTCTTGAATTCCTGACCTCAAGTGATCTACCTGCCTCAGCCTCCCAAAGTTTTAGAATTACAGGTGTAATTCATGATTCCCAGCCCAGCTCAGGTTTTCAGTTAAGATTACATGATCAATTTGCAGAAATATCTACTTACATCCTATCCACAGGTCTGTTTATTGTCCTGGGTGGAGGAGGTATCGTTTTCTTTTTTATTTTTTGTTTTTTGAGACAGTCTAGCTCTTTCGCCCAGGCAGTGGTGTGATCTCGGCTCACTGCAACATTCGCCTGCCAGTTTTAAGCGATTCTTGTGCCTCGGCCTTCCCAAGTAGCTGAGATTACAGGCCCACATCATTATGTGCAGCTAATTTATATATTTTTAGTAGAGTTGGGGGTTTTACCGTGTTGGCCAGGTTTGTCTCAACCTCCTGACCTCAGGTGATCTGCCCACTTTGGCCTCCCAAAGTGCTGGGATTATAGGGCTGTGCCACTGTGCCCAGCCTGGCCAAGGTTTTTTTTTTTTTTTGAGACAATATCTTGCTTTGTCACCAGGCTGGAGTGCAGTGGCATGATCTCAGCTCATTGCAGCTTCTACCTCCTGGGTTCAAGCAATTCTCATGCCTCAGCCTCCTAAATAGCAGGCATGTACCACCACACTCAGCTAATTACTTTTTTTGTATTTTTCTATATTTTAAAAAGATGGGTTTCACCATGTTGGGCAGGCTGGTCTTGAACTCCCGACCTCAGGTGATCCACTCTTCTCGACCTCCCAGAGTGGTAAAATTACAGGCGTGAGCCTCCGTGTTTAGCCCTTTTTTTGTATTTTTTAAGTAGAGACGAGTTTTCACCACATTGGCCCAGATGGTCTCGAACTCCTGACCTCGTGATTTACCTGCCTTGGCCTCCCAAAGTGCTGGGATTACAATGGTGAGCCACTGCACCCAGTCCATGTTGTTTTAATTAAATGCATCATGTGACTCTAAGGTGAGGCCAGAATCAAGTATGTGGGGTTCAAGATACATTCATGAGAATTAAGTTTCACCTCTGCACTAAAGAGTGGTCAGAGGGCTGGTTCTGTTTGGTTTGGTAGTGACAGGAAAGTGTGACCCATATTTTCATTACTGTAGAAGAAATTGCTGGTTTCCATGGCAGAAGAAAGCACCTGAGGATCAAAAACAAACTTTTGGGCCAGACGCAGTGGCTCACACCTGTAATCCAAGCACTATGGGAAGCCGAGGTGGGCGGATCACGAGGTCAAGGGATCGAGACCATCCTGGCCAACATGGTAAAACCATGTCTCTACTAAAAATACAAAAATTAGCTGGGTGTCGTGGCACACACCTGTGGTCCCAGCTACTCGGGAGGCTGAGGCAGAAGAATCTGTTAAACCCAGGAAACGAAGGTTGCAGTGAGCCGAGATTGGCCACGGCACTCCAGCCTGGCGATGGAGCAAGTCTCCGTCTCAAAAAAAAAAAAAAAAAAAGAAATTTTTACTTTTATCTTTGTGGAGCAGCTCAGTGTTCCTGAATCTCTTCTGGTATAAAGAACAGAAATGGGTGGACTTTTTCTGCGAGTCTTGTTCCTTCTGCCTGTGGGTGTGGTGGTAGCAGGTAAATATGTGGTGCTGACACCTTTAAAGGCATATTCTCCAGATGCACGTGTGATTTGTTCAGAGAATTGCTTCTGAAAAGAATTTTCAGAGAAAGAGGAAAAAAACGACTTACTTTTTGTTAAACATGCCTCAAATCAAGAGCTGTGTTTTCTCCTCTACCTGGAATGCCATGCATTTAATACTTGCAAACTTTGACTTTTAAAAAGTTTAATGATAGGAATCTCTGAAAAATATTTCCTTTCTCTCAGTCTTCTCTACATTAAGGCTTCTTATATGCCATGCAGAATTTTCACCATTATTTTATAATCTGCAATATTAAAAATTTTTCAGGTGGCTGTTGGACAAGGGAAGGTGTGGAAACTCATGATTTCTGTTGGGAAAAGCTGGGGTTTTTAGTAAATATGGAGAACATCTAATGTTGAAGTTCCACCTGTGTTCTCCATTAGCTCTATTCAGAACACTATTAAGAAAATGCTTATTTAAACAAGGTAGTCTTTACTATATGGAAACTTCTGAAGCACTAAAAAAGGTACACGTTTGTGTTTATGCCCTTAATTATATATGTTATTTATTTTTATTTTGTTGTTGTTGTTGTTTTTTTTTTTGTTTCTGTTTTTGAGATGACATCTTACTCTTTGCTGCCCAGGCTGAAATGCAATGGAGCGATCTCGGCTCACCATAACCTCCGCCTTTTGGGTTCAAGCAATTATTTTGTCTCAGCCTCCTGAGTAGCTGGGCTTAGAGGCATGTGCAGTGGCACATTTTGTATTTTTTATTTTTAGTAGAGATGGGGTTTCTCCGTGTTGATCAGGCTGGTCTCCTGACCTCAGGTGATCTGCCCACCTCAGACTCCCAAAGTGCTGGGATTACAGGCATGAGCCACCTCACTTGGTCTATTACATATGTTATTATTTAGAAAATTATTCTATACACACTGATGTTGTGCCTCTGGTGCCACTCTGTTTTCTCAGGGTTAGAGAACACATTAGGAAATATGTCTGTGTTCAAATTTATTTTATTGGATAATTTCTGTCACTCCTACAAGTCAGAACCTGTTCTTGTTACTCTCTCATTTTACCTTGTTTCAAATTATAAATTCTGTTGGCTACCTGATTATGTTTGCGTGTGTGTGTTTTTTAGGGACTGTTGACATTTAGGGATGTGGCCATAGAATTTTCTCTGGAAGAGTGGCAATGCCTGGACACTGCACAGCGGAATTTATATAAAAATGTGATTTTAGAAAACTACAGAAACCTTGTCTTCCTGGGTAAGGATAATTTCAACACACAGTTTCTAACATACCCTAAATATTTTATTTCTCTTATTTCTAAAATGTATTTTGGTAATATATGCTTTCCATAAATGAGTTTCAGGTCCCCGTTTTTAAGAAACTCTTAAGGATTTATATAAATAGAAAAAAGCTTCTTCAATATGTTTTATTTTTATTTATGTATTTATTTTTTTCTTTAGAGATCGAGTTTTGCTCTTGTTACCCAGGCTGGAGTGTAATGGCGTGATCTCAGCTCACTGCAACCTACACCTCCTGGGTTCAGGCAATTCTCCTTTCTCAGCCTCCCGAATAGCTTGGATTACAGGCATGCGCCACCATGCTCAGCTAATATTTTGTATTTTTAGTAGAGACGGGGATTCACCATGTTGACCAGGATTGTCTTGATCTCTTGACCTCGTGATCCACCCGTCTCGGCCTCCCAAAGTGCTGGGATTACGGGCGTGAGCCACTGCGCCTGGCCTAATATGTTTTATTTTGACGTGAATTTACCACATTTTTAAACTGATCTGTGTCATTCATTCTAGATTAGTGGTAATTTGAGAAATTTAGTGACATATTGTTGCCCACACCTAAAAATCTAATTGCCAACACCAAGTTTTGACTCAGTATAATGAGTAATGAAATGTAGAATATTTTTTTAAATATTTAAAAATTTCTGTTATACGTTGGACTATTTTATTACGTCATCTTTACTGAGCACATGACTAGATTGGTAATTAAAGAATATGAGCAAGATTCATGTTAGTTATTTTTAATTGAACAGGTATTGCTGTCTCTAAACCAGACCTGATCACCTGTCTGGAGCAAGAAAAGGAGCCTTTGATTATGAAAAGAGAGGAGATGGCAGATGAACCCCCAGGTGAGTGAGAGTAAAAGTGAATACAACACATGACACAGATGAGGGTCCAAAGGTCAAAGAGAAAGCCAGTTCTTAGAATAGCAATTTGGGAATCTGTGTTTTAAAGAGAATAGTTTCTGGAAAAGCTGAGTTTTTAAATTTGTTCTCACATTTGAGCATTTTCTGTCGTATGCTTTTAAATTCTCTAAGGTTTCTATTTACTTTTTTGGTAATTTTCCTTCAAGTTTTCAGTGAGAACCAATGTCCTCTTCATGGAATATAAGAGACTCTGCAATCTGAATGCTTATTCAATTTTTTTTGAGACACAGAAATATCTGCATAATTTTGAGCAACTTGATGTTAAATAATTTTTTTTAATAATTTTTTTGGCATCATGTCTGAAACGTATGAGAAGTGGTTTCTTTACCTTTTTCTTTTTGAGACAGAGCATTACTCTGTTGCCCATGCTACATCACAGTGGCACAATCTCATTTCACTGCGACTCTCCCTGCTGGGTTTAAGCATTTCTTCTGCCTCAGCCTCCCGAGTAGCTGGGATTACATGTGTGTGCCACTACACCAGGCTAATTTTGTATTTCTAGTAGAGATGGGGTTTCACCATGTTGGCCAGGCCGGTCTTGAACTCCTGCCCTCAAGTAATTTGTCTGCCTCAGCTTCCCAAAGTGCTGGGATTGCAGGTGTGAGCCACTGTTCCCAGCCTTTTTTTTCCTGCACATTTTATCTTGTTTGTATTTCTATAACCTTCAAATGTAGTCTTGAAATTTTAAGGTATGCTATTTTTGTGCCGGGCATGGTGGCTCACGCCTATAATCCCAGCACTTTGGGAGGCGGAGGTGGTAGATTACAAGGTCAAGAGATCGAGATTATCTTGGTCCACAAGGTGAAACTCTGTCTCTACTAATATACAAAAAATTAGCTGGGCATGGTGGTGCATGCCTGTAATTCCAGCTACTCGGGAGGCTGAGGCAGGAGAATTGCTTGAACCCAGGAGGCGGAGGTTGCGGTGAGCCGAGATCGTGCCATTGCACTGCAGTCTGGGTAGCAAGAGCGAAACTCCGTCTCAAAAAAATAAAAAATTGAATAAAGTATGCTATGTTTCTGCTTCTTTTCTTTCCTCATGCTTTTTTTGACTATTTAAAGTATATCATAGTTTCATGTAAATTTTACATTTATGTTTTTTATTACTGTGAAAAAAAAATGCCACTGGAATTTTGATAGGAAGTTTATTGAATCTATAGGTTACTTAGAATAACATGACACTTTAATAATATTTATTATTTCAATTTATAGACATAAATATCTTCAAATTTATTCATGTCTTTTTTTTTTTTTTATTGGATTTTAGGTTTTGGGGTACATGAGCAGAGCATGCAAGACAGTTGTGTAGGAACACACATGGCAGTGTGCTTTTCTTTCCTTCTTTCCTTCACCCACATTTGGCATTTCTCCCCAGGCTATCCCTCCCCACCTCCCCCTCCCACTGGCCCTCCCCTTTTCCCCCCAATAGACCCCAGTGTTTAGTACTCCCCTTTCTGTGTCCATGTGTTCTCATTTTTCATCACCCGCCTATGAGTGAGAATATGCAGTGTTTCATCTTCCGTTCTTGTGTCAGTTTGCTGAGGATGACATTCTCCAGATTCATCCATGTCCCTACAAACGACACAAACTCATCATTTCTGATTGCTGCATAATATTCCATGGTGTATATGTGCCACATTTTTCCAATCCAGTCTATTATCAATGGGCATTTGGGTTGATTCCAGGTCTTTGCTATTGTAAACAGTGCTGCAATGAACATTCGTGTACATGTGTCCTTATAGTAGAACGATTTATAGTCTTTTTGGATATATACCCAGTAATGGGATTGCTGGGTCAAATGGAATTTCTATTTCTAAGGCCTTGTGGAATCGCCACACTGTCTTCCACAATGGTTGAACTAATTTACACTCCCACCAGCAGTGTAAAAGTGTTCCTTTTTCTCCACATCCTCTCCAGCATCTGTTGTCTCCAGATTTTGTAATGATCGCCATTCTAACTGGCGTGAGATGGTATCTCAATGTGGTTTTGATTTGCATCTCTCTGATGACCAGTGACGATGAGCATTTTTTCATATGATTGTTGGCCTCATATATGTCTTCTTTCGTAAAGTGTCTGTTCATATCCTTTGCCCACTTTTGAATGGGCTTGTTTGTTTTTTTCCTGTAAATCCGTTTGAGTTCTTTGTAAATTCTGGATATCAGCCCTTTGTCAGATGGGTAAACTGCAAAAATTTTTTCCCATTCTGTTGGTTGCCGATCCACTCTAGTGACTGTTTCTTTTGCCGTGCAGAAGCTGTGGAGTTTCATTAGGTCCCATTTGTCTATTTTGGCTTTTGTTGCCAATGCTTTTGGTGTTTTGTTCATGAAGTCCTTGCCTACTCCTATGTCCTGGATAGTTTTGCCTAGATTTCCTTCTAGGGTTTTTATGGTGCCAGGTCTTATGTTTAAGTCTTTAATCCATCTGGAGTTAATTTTAGTGTAAGGTGTCAGGAAGGGGTCCAGTTTCTGCTTTCTGCACATGGCTAGCCAGTTTTCCCAACACCATTTATTAAACAGGGAATCCTTTCCTCCTTGCTTGTTTTTGTCAGGTTTATCAAAGATTGTATAGTTGTAGATATGTTGTGTTGCCTCCGGTGCCTCCGTTTTGTTCCATTGGTTTGTATCTCTGTTTTGGTACCAGTACCATGCTGTTTTGATTACTGTAGCCTTGTAGTATAGTTTGAAATCCGGTAGTGTGATGCCCCCCGCTGTGTTCTTTTTGCTTAGAATTGACTTGGCTATGCGGGCTCTCTTTTGGTTTCATATGAAGTTCATGGTGGTTTTTTCCAGTTCTGTGAAGAAAGTCAATGGTAGCTTGATGGGGATAGCGTTTATTCTGTAAATTACTTTGGGCAGTATAGCCATTTTCACGATGTTAATTCTTCCTAACCATGAACCTGGAATGTTTCTCCATCTGTTTGTGTCCTCTCTGATTTCGTTGAGTAGTGGTTTGTAGTTCTCCTTGAAGAGGTCCCTTACGTTCCTTGTGAGTTGTATTCCAAGGTATTTTATTCCTTTTGTAGCAATTGCGAATGGCAGTTCGTTCTTGATTTGGCTTTCTTTAAGTCTGTTATTGGTGTAGAAGAATGCTTGTGATTTTTGCACATTGATTTTATATCCTGAGACTTTGCTGAAGTTGCTTATCAGTTTCAGGAGTTTTTGGGCTGAGGTGATGGGGTCTTCTAGGTATACTATCATGTCGTCTGCAAATAGAGACAATTTGGCTTCCTCCTTTCCTATTTGAATACCCTTTATTTCTTTTTCTTGCCTGATTGCTCTGGCTAGAACTTCCAGAACTATATTGAATAGGAGTGGTGAAAGAGGGCATCCTTGTCTAGTGCCAGACTTCAAAGGGAATGCTTCCAGTTTTTGCCCATTCAGTATGATATTGGCTGTTGGTTTGTCATAAATAGCTTTTATTACTTTGAGATACGTTCCATCGATACCGAGTTTATTGAGGGTTTTTAGCATAAAGGGCTGTTGAATTTTGTCAAATGCCTTCTCTGCGTCAATTGAGATAATCATGTGGTTTTTGTTTTTGGTTCTGTTTATGTGGTGAATTACGTTGATAGACTTGCGTATGTTGAACCAGCCTTGCATCCCCGGGATGAATCCTACTTGATCATGGTGAATAAGTTTTTTGATTTGCTGTTGCATTCGGCTTGCCAATATTTTATTGAAGATTTTTGCATCTATGTTCATCATGGATATTGGCCTGAAGTTTTCTTTTCTTGTTGGGTCTCTGCCGGGTTTTGGTATCAGGATGATGTTGGTCTCGTAAAATGATTTGGGAAGTATTCCCTCTTTTTGGATTGTTTGAAATAGTTTTAGAAGGAATGGTACCAGCTCCTCTTTGTGTGTCTGGTAGAATTCGGCTGTGAACCCGTCTGGACCTGGGCTTTTTTTGTGTGGTAGGCTCTTAATTGCTGCCTCGACTTCTGACCTTGTTATTGGTCTATTCATAGTTTCAGCTTCCTCCTGGTTTAGGCTTGGGAGGATGCAGGAGTCTAGGAATTTATCCATTTCTTCCAGGTTTATTAGTTTATGTGCATAGAGTTGTTTGTAATATTCTCTGATGATGGTTTGAATTTCTGTGGAATCTGTGGTGATTTCCCCTTTATCATTTTTTATTGCATCTATTTGGTTGTTCTCTCTTTTATTTTTAATCAATCTGGCTAGTGGTCTGTCTATTTTGTTGATCTTTTCAAAAAACCAGCTCTTGGATTTATTGATTTTTTGAAGGGTTTTTCGTGTCTCAATCTCCTTCAGTTCAGCTCTGATCTTAGTTATTTCTTGTCTTCTGCTGGGTTTTGAGTTTTTTTGATCTTGCTCCTCTAGCTCTTTCAATTTTGATGATAGGGTGTCAATTTTGGATCTCTCCATTCTCCTCATATGGACACTTATTGCTATATACTTCCCTCTAGAGACTGCTTTAAATGTGTCCCAGAGGTTCTGGCATGTTGTGTCTTCGTTCTCATTGGTTTCGAAGAACTTCTTTATTTCTGACTTCATTTCATTATTTACCCAGTCAACATTCAAGAGCCAGTTGTTCAGTTTCCATGAAGCTGTGTGGTTCTGGATTGGTTTCTGTATTCTGAGTTCTAATTGATTGCACTATGGTCTGAGAGGCTGTTTGTTATGATTTCAGTTGTTTTGCATTTGTTGAGCAGTGCTTTACTTCCAATTATGTGGTCAATTTTTGAGTAGGTGTGATGTGGTGCTGAGAAGAATGTGTATTCTGTGGATTTGGATGGAGAGTTCTGTAAATGTCTATCAGGTTTGCTTGCTCCAGGTCTGAGTTCAAGCCCTGGATAACCTTGTTGATTTTCTGTCTGGTTGATCTGTCTAATATTGACAGTGGAGTGTTAAAGTCTCCCACTATTATTGTGTGGGAGTCTAAGTCTCTTTGTAAGTCATTAAGAAC